ATTAGCACTGAATGGCTCCTCATACAATACGGGCGCCTCGGCCGGCCACGCCTGTCAAAGAAATTGACATTTCGCACGCGCGGCGGGTGCACTAGGAGAATAAGAATGAATTTGAGCTCAACACCCTCGAGGAAGAATATTTATTTGTTACCTTAGATAGTTAATGGTGACCCGATAAAGAACACGCAGCTCCAATTATTACGCTTGGATTCCACCAGCTCTTCGCCCTTCCTGGTGGTCCTGACGCCCAAGAAGACACCACACCTGGTGGTGTCGCGGTGGGTGCGTTCCAGCATATCAAACTGCCATCATTCTGGCCGAAAAACCAGAGCACACTGTTCCTGCAAGTTCAGGCACACTTTCATGTACGGAGAATCAGGAGTCAACAAACCAAGTACTGGAATCAGGTGCCCTCCTTAGCTCCGGACGTAGCCAACGACTCAGGTGACATTTAGCGTCGCCGCACCCGAGCCATTCCCATGGCACGTTCAAGGTAGCTATAAGTTCCCACAACCCACAATTCTGGTACCGAGCACAGCAGACACCAACAGCTCATCACAGCTACAGAGCTCAGTGACTTTCACCCATCTCAGCTCCTGCGACGCATACGCCAGCTGCTTGGTGGCCCCTCCACCCCACAAAAGGAGTAGCTGTTGCGTGAGTAGTCTCTCCAGCGCTTACCGCACAGCATGGTCTCGGTCCTGGTGGCTGCAAGAGATGATTAAATATACGCACTCACTGAAAAGGCTGATCGAGTGACCAACCACTCACGGGGGCATAGCGTCAACGCCGTTAACATATCGTCATCGGCCACTGCTGCAGGCCTCACCCTTACGAGCATAGAGAACCATTGGTCGCCTTTGTAAAGCGTCTGGATGCTTTTATACCTTCGCATCACCAACCGTCATCAACGTTCTAGTTACATAGTCGGTCCTCGACGCCACCACACTCTCCAGGACGTCGGCCAACCAGCACACTACGTGCCGGGTCTTCCTTGACCAGGTGCTGGTATGAACATCTATTCGGTGCTTCCACTCGTGCTCGCAAGTGCACTCACCCGTGCTCCTGGTCGAGAAATGCGACGACCGGGCACTGAAGGTGGCAAGTGGTGCTCGTCGAAAGTCATGTTGCTTTCTAAATGTTTCTGATATCAAAGGCGCTTGCTCTATAGTATACAGAGGAGCCCAGGTTAGCGCCATACAAGTCTCATGTGCGGACCACCATCACTACGAACACACCTGCCTACTCCAAGTGATTAACAATTTCGCCATCTGCATACGCGGCCAACGGCCTCTTACACTTGACGTTGGACTGCGCCGTGAGTTTCCCTGAATTTTCATCCTCGCTGACGTCTCGCAAGCTGTTCTTGGAGTTCACTTAAATTTTTTCCAACCATGCTATTGACATGCATGCTCATCGCCTCATCAATTTCAACGCCCACCTGTCCAACAACGACATACGTTGTACTTTCCCGTCAACAGGACTTCGAGCTCTCATACCCACTTTGTCGATTGCGAAACTACTTGCCGACTTTCTAGCATTACCGAAGCCTTACGCCCGAGAGTTGGTGAATAATACATCACTCACCATATTGTCATCATTGCATCTGTCATTTTCACACGGTCTCATCAATTGTCTGGAGAACGCCTAGCCATCGCCTGCCATGAGCTTGAGCACACACTCGCACTTGGCATTGAGCGGCCTTCCTTAAGCAACTGGGGCATCGCCATCCACGTAGTGCTGAAGAAAAATCCTGGCGACTGAATCCCATGTGGGGATTATCGCTTCACATTTGACTAGATGTACGATCTTCTCTAAGATTGACTTATTCAAGGCTCACTATGAGGTTCCTGTAGAACCCAGCAACATTTCGAGGCTTTCCATCACCACACCATTAGGTCTGTTTAAATACGTAACGATGTCTGTTGGATGGCCCAACGCTGCACAGACTTTTAATAATACGTTTAACAGGGTGACACGAGATGTCGATTTCGTATTTACTTACCTTGATGGCCACCTTGTCGCAAGCTTTTCCGGCCCTAAGCATGAAGCCCACTTGCACACCCTGTCCCCCACTTGGATCATTATGGCGTCGTAATCAATTCCTATAAGTGCATCTTCGTCGTCGCTACCATCGAGTTCTTAGGCTACCTTGTCACTCCTCACAGTGTCCAACCACTCGTCAGCAAACTGACGAGTTTCCTGAAGACTTTCCACGCCCTGAACTGAAAACTGAAGACTTTCCACGCTCAATTTCACTGACAAAACTTGGAGAATTTCTCGGCCTACTATACTTTCATCGCTTCCTTTTTCCAGAGCGTGACACCTTCCTAATGCCCAAAATTGATCTATTGACTAAAAGAGAGCCCAGCTGTGCCACTAGACTGGACCAAGGACGCTGCACCTGCTTTCGTCACTGCCAAGACGGCTCTGGCAGACACCACCACGCACATACATCCTGTTACTGATGCCCTAATTGGTCTCATCACTTGTGCACCGGGCGTGGAAGTTGGCGCCGTTCTCGAGCAGCACGTATCCTGTTGGCAGCCCCTTGTTTTTTTCTCGCGAAAATTGAAGCCACCGAAAGCGAAAAACGACCGCGAGCTCATCATGAGTGTGCCATGTAGTCATGCTCTTGCATGACAGGCATGCCATGATGCGCTTGCGGTCGATTGCACCAGTCATATACCTTCATTTTCCATTGACGTCACGTAATACCAAATTGTCTGTATGTGAAGCTTAGCCAAACAACCGTGAGTGTATCATGAGCGTGGCTTGTAGTCATGTTCTTACATGACACGTATCTCGTGATTATTATGTTTCGACCAGTCCTATATTTTCATCATCCATACAGGTCCCGTAATACGAAATATGATGTACGTGAAGCAAGCGAAATGACCGCGAGGTCATCATGAGCATGGCAAGTAGTCACATATTACACGTCCCGCATGTTATGCTTTTCACGTGAGGACCAGTCAGTTCTGTTCGCCATGCAGTCATGGCATACCCCGTGGTCATAACATGCTAGTTTTGCGATATGTCATGTGAACTAAACCACTGCAGGATCAGCAAGAGCCTGAAATATAAATCGTGACATTTATAATTCACATATCGTGATTTTCATATTACGACTGTTGTATTTGTCGCATACTGGGAAGCAGCCCCCGCTTCGGGGGAGCGTTAATTGAAAGACTCCGCGGCGAAGAGGGGGAGGAGGGGCAACTCGGAGGGACTCGTCTCCGGGTGGTTCGCGTGACGGGCAATGCGAAAGGAGCGAAGGGCGTCCTTGACATCTGTTTTACCTACAAGCCCAGCCGTGAAGGGAAAAGGGGGTGAGGGCCACAATGACCCTTCTCGAACACGCGGAAAGCGTTTTGTCCATCTGTCCTTGAAGACCGTCGCACGTGCGGGGTGCGGAGGAAACTCTTTGACAATACTTGTGCTTCTCTGTTTGCTTTTCCTTTTTTTCTTCCCCTCTCTACGACAGCGGTACATAGCGAACGAATAAACCAGTCTTCGTGATGCGTTCAAACTGAAAGGACGTGTTTTTTCTCTGTCGTCGTCTCACTAGAAAAAGTCTGCCTCCCTGCTATTCCGCTACAACATTTTTTGGTGCCGAAACCCGGGAATTAGGGACCCAAAGATGGACATCGACAGGATGAAGCGCAAAAGGGCCGTGGTGCGAACGTCAACAACAAAGCTGCTCAATGACATCGCTACCATGGAGGACGACGCGTCACTCGGTGAGCTTGAAGAAAAGATCAACCTTCTCACCCTTAAGGAAGACTCACTCAAAGAGCTAGATCGGGAAATTGAGATTGGCGTAGAAGATGATGCATTAGAAGAGGAAATTGCATGCTCCGAGAACTACAAAGAAAAGATCAACGTAGCAAGGACTAAAGTACAGCTCATGCTACGTGAGCGTAGCTGCACTAACGCCGCATCAGTGAGCGCTTCGCTAGATCGCACCTCAAGTTCCTCAGATCAAAGAGAATCTAGCCGTAACATCCCGCAAGTAACCCCCACAGTAAAGCTGCCAAAACTAGAGATAGCAAAGTTCAACGGCGAGCTTCGACAGTGGCAAGGCTTTTGGAGTCAGTTCGACACGACAATAAACGCTAACCACCACCTGTCAAACGTGGACAAGTTCAAGTACCTGAACAGTTACTTAACAGGAAAAGCAGCGGCTGCTGTTGCGGGTCTTGATTTGTCCGACGGAAACTACGAAGTTGCTCTCTCGCTGTTAAGGAAAGGTTCGGTCGTAAAGAAGCCATAATCGAGGATCAAATGTCCAGACTGCTCAATATCAAGTCAGTGCGTGACTCGCGGAACCTCAGCCAACTTCGGAGCCTCGTTGACGAAGTAGAGAGAGGTGTACGGAGCCTCACTTCTCTTGGCGTCGGTGTCAGCACGTACGGAGCTCTGCTCCTGACAGTAGTAAAGAAGGCGGTGCCTGCGGACCTTCATCTCGAATACTGTCGACGAAAGGGCGCTACTACAGGAGGCAGTGAACTGGAGGCATTTGCGCATTTTTTGAGAGTCGAGGTAGAGGCACGGGAGATTATACAGCGGGCCGAAACACCAAGGGGCATGTGTGTAGAATCGTCTGTCGAAAACCGTAACAGCACCTTTAAAGCGGCGAGAATGTCTTCAGCCGCTGCACTGCATACCATGACCAAGGAGAGAAAAGGGTGTCTGTTTTGTTCGTCAGGGTGCCACGAAAGCGGTGACTGCGATGCAGAGATGTCGGCAGCTGATAAAAGAGAAATGCTGAAGCGTGAGAATAGATGTTTCCGCTGCACAGTAAAGGGGCACACGTCAAGAGAGTGCCGTAAGGCCAAATGGCTCAGGTGTGCCAACTGTAGCGGAAAACACCTCACGGCTATGTGTGATCCTGATTTCAGAGAATACCGTGGCAGTGGTGAACAGAATGCATCCTCTCCAACAGCGACAGGACAAGCCACAGTGCTAAAGTCTTCTCTAGGCTCAGAGGAGAAATTATGTGCATGGAGGGGCATCAGTTTCTTCTGCAAACAGCACGAGCTTGGACAGTGGGACCGCACAAAAGTACGCTTGTCAGGCTTCTCCTAGATGGTGGCAGTCAAAGGACGTTCATCCATCGCAAGTTGTCTGAAAGACTGCAGTTGAACGTGCTTGGGGAAGAGGAACTTAAAATCTATGCCTTCGGCGACAAGTCCGCTATAACCCGCACTAAAGCGCGTCTGGTCGAGCTGTGGCTGCAAAGCCAGTACGACGGGAAAAGGGCGCGAGTGGAGGCCCTCGAAGTTCCCTGCATCTGCGCAGATATAATGGCTGCGCCTTTAAAGTCAGTTCTTCTGGAACTTTCGAAATTTGGCTTGCCAGTCGCGGACGTCGCGCAGGGTGACGGAAGTGAAAACATTGATCTTCTGATCGGCGCTGATCATTATTGGGAAATTGTCACGGGATCCACTAAGCGCCTAACCTCCAAGCTGATGGCAGTAGAAACTGCATTTGGGTGGACAGTCCAGGGCCAGGTAGGCGCAAAAAGGTCACCAGGAGTCTGTCCCTCTGTTGCTGGCGTAATGCGAGTAGCAGTGAGCGAACAAACTAACAAAGAAATATCAGCACAGTTGAGGTCATTCTGGGAGCTCGAACACATTGGTATCCAGGAACACGAACCAGCTCGCCACCAAGACGCAATCCAACAGCACTACAAAGAAACCGTCAAATTTGAGCATGGGCGGTACACAGTGTCTTTCCCCTGGAAGCCTATGGTTGATGAGCTCGACGACAACTACGAGTGCGCCGCGAAGCGTCTTAGAGCCAACACGACGCGCCTTTTGAAGGGAGATTCCTTGATCGTGGAATATGACGCCTGCCTCCGAGAATACATCGAAAAGGGCTATGCAGAGCCAGCCAACAAGCATTGCAGCGCTTCGGAAGGTCCGGTGTATTACATGCCACATCAAGCAGTTATTCGACAAGAAAGCCTGACAACAAAAGTGAGGGTGGTGTTCGACGCATCATCAAGTGCCAAAGATCGCCTCTCACTGAATGATGTTTTGGAAAGTGGTCCAAAACTTAATCCAGAGCTCATTGATTTGTTGATCAACTTCCGCACTTACAACAATCGGCATCGTCGCGGATATTGAAAAGGCATTCCTTCAAATATCTCTGTCAGAGGGTGACCGGAACGCTGTGCGGTTTCTCTGGTATGCTGCCACTCCGAAGAAAGGTGAAGAACTTCCAGCGGTGGCGGCCTACCGGATGACGCGCGTTCCGTTCGGTGTTACATCCAGCCCATTCCTATTAGCCGCAACATTACGACACCATCTTGAAGGACTCCCAGAGCAGTATGCTGAGACTGCGAACATCCTGCGCAGCCATCTCTATGTTGACGACCTTGTGACAGGGGTCGACACCCTCGAACAGGGTAAAGTGCTATGCCAGGAATCAAGCGATATATTATCTTCAAGCAGGAATGCGGCTCCACAAGTGGATGTCTAACGACCACGATTTAGTCAACTTCATAGAGGATGGGAACGTGGCGAAGAGGAATGCAAATGCCGAACTTCCTGCAGCCACCAAGGTATTGGGAGTAGGTTGGAATGCTCATACAGATAACTTCGAGTACAATCTGACCTCACTTCTTGAATTCCTCACCACAAGAGCCGACAGCAAGAGATTCGTATTGCAAGTCTCAGCCAGAATTTTCGACCCCCTTTGGGTTTATCGCTCCTACAACACTGTACGTAAAGACAATGTTCCCAAAGGTTGTGGGAGTTGGGAGCGGGTTGGGACGACCCCCTTGCCAGAATTGATGCAAGCGGAGTGGATAGTGCTGGTGTGAAGAGCTTCAATGCATCAAGGCGGTGTCCATTCCGAGGATCATCGCAAGGGATTTCCGAGATGAAAAGACAGAGAAGGTGTTGCACATTTTCTGCGATGCCAGCCCAAAGGCCTACGGTGCTGTCGGATACGTTGCATGCAAGTCTGCTCAAGGAATAATCAATATAAGCCTAATTATGGCCAAATCAAGAGTTGCCCCTTTGAAGCGCCTCTCGTTACCCCGACTAGAGCTGATGGGGGCCCCTCATTGGTGCTCGACTGTGCCACTACGTTGCCAAGGCCTTGAACCTCCAGAATGCTGCTGCCATCCTTTGGACCGACTTCCACAGTGGCTATGCACTGGATTAAAGGAAACGCTGCCAGATGGAAGCCCTTCGTGGCAAACCGAGTATCAGAGGTTCAGGCGCTGACTGATCCCGAGGATTGGAGGCACTGCCCAGGACTAGACAACCCCGCTGACCTAATCACTCGCGGTATCCTCCCATCAGCCTTGTTAGAAAGCGAATTGTGGTGGAGAGGACCACACTGGCTTCACAAGGATAAGACGCATTGGCCAACGACCGGTGAGCAGAGCCAGGGGCAGTAGAATGTCACCTGGAAGAGCGAAAAGTGACGTGTGATGCCCGTAATATCATCGCCGTTCGAGGCAGTGCTGAAAGTAGAGGAGTTCAGCTCATGCAGCAGAGTCCGTGCGCTTAACTGCGTGGGTCCGCCGCTTTGTCAACAATTGCCGCCGCGGGAAGGAAGGAAAGGTGGTCCGCTACGAGCTGAAGAGGTGATCGATGCTGAGAGGTACTGGTTGGCAACAACTCAAGGAGAAGCATTCAGTGACGACATTTCCAACTTGAAAGCCCAAAGACCACTGCACAAAGGCTCTCCTGTTCTGCCACTCAGTCCGTACCTTGACGGGGAAGGTCTCATGCGAGTTGGTGGACGCTTGCAATTCACCGACAACCACGAAGAGACTAAACATCCCATCATTCTACCTAGCACTCATCCCTTCACGCTACTGCTCATAAGGGAAAGAGCACGTGAGAATGCTACACTCAGGGGTGCGCGACACCTTGGCGTCATTGCGAGAGTCGTATTGGATCATCCGGAGGGCGCCAGGCCGTAAAAAAGGTTATCAAGCAGTGCCTTCATCTGTCGCAAACAAAGTTGCCCTCAAGCCACGGAACCAGTGGCACCACTTCCAGCTGACAGAGTAACAGAAGGAAATCCGTTCGACACTGTCGGCATCGATTTCGCAGGACCTTTGATTTGTCAAGAGTCGCGCGGTGCCCGAAAATGTTACATCGCAATTTTAACCTGCGCTGTGACACGTGCCGTCCATCTTGAGCTCGTTAGCGACATGTCGACTACAGCCTTTCTCCTGGCTTTCAAGCGCTTCGTGGCTCGCAGGGGAATCTGCTCGACTATTTATTCGGACAACGCGCTAACCTCAAGAGAGCAGCAAAAGATCTGAATGCAATGTTCACGCTACTAAAATCAGAGGAAATGCAGTCATACTTCGCCGGAAACCAGATCAGGTGGAAGTTTATTGTTGAAAGGGCAGCTTGGTGGGGCGGATTCTGGGAACGGTTGGTGCGATCGGTGAAGGTAGCGTTGCGCAAGGTGTTAGGTCGGAGCAGTTTAAGCTTTGAAGAACTCACAACTGTCTTGTACGAAGTCGAGGCCGTAATAAACTCACGCCCATTGACTTTCACCTACGATGATGCTCAAGAGCCAGAACCACTGTCGCCGGCGCACTTCCTCGTCGGAAGAAAGCTGACAACCCTTCCTCCACACCACCTGCCAGCCGAAATTCCGGGCGGTGACGCGCATATCTCACGACGCTGGAAGTACCGGTCTGCCATGGCTGAAGGATTCTGGAGACGGTGGCGGAGAGAGTACTTATTGGAGCTTCGATCGGCGCATCTGTCCCGGCCAACGACATCGAGTGACCTAAAGATAGACGATTTAGTTCTTTTAAAGGAAGATCATCTCAAACGACACATGTGGAAGATCGCCAGAATCAAGGAAACGTTCAAGGGCAGGGACGGCAGGGTGCGGGCCTGCAGTTTGAAACTAAGCGGGGGAACGGTGGTGAAACGACCAATACAGCTGCTTTATCCGCTAGAAGTCAACAGGACTTCGAGCTCTCATACCCACTTTGTCGATTGCGAAACTACTTGCCGACTTTCTAGCATTACCGAAGCCTTACGCCCGAGAGTTGGTGAATAATACATCACTCACCATATTGTCATCATTGCATCTGTCATTTTCACACGGTCTCATCAATTGTCTGGAGAACGCCTAGCCATCGCCTGCCATGAGCTTGAGCACACACTCGCACTTGGCATTGAGCGGCCTTCCTTAAGCAACTGGGGCATCGCCATCCACGTAGTGCTGAAGAAAAATCCTGGCGACTGAATCCCATGTGGGGATTATCGCTTCACATTTGACTAGATGTACGATCTTCTCTAAGATTGACTTATTCAAGGCTCACTATGAGGTTCCTGTAGAACCCAGCAACATTTCGAGGCTTTCCATCACCACACCATTAGGTCTGTTTAAATACGTAACGATGTCTGTTGGATGGCCCAACGCTGCACAGACTTTTAATAATACGTTTAACAGGGTGACACGAGATGTCGATTTCGTATTTACTTACCTTGATGGCCACCTTGTCGCAAGCTTTTCCGGCCCTAAGCATGAAGCCCACTTGCACACCCTGTCCCCCACTTGGATCATTATGGCGTCGTAATCAATTCCTATAAGTGCATCTTCGTCGTCGCTACCATCGAGTTCTTAGGCTACCTTGTCACTCCTCACAGTGTCCAACCACTCGTCAGCAAACTGACGAGTTTCCTGAAGACTTTCCACGCCCTGAACTGAAAACTGAAGACTTTCCACGCTCAATTTCACTGACAAAACTTGGAGAATTTTCGGCCTACTATACTTTCATCGCTTCCTTCTTCCAGAGCGTGACACCTTCCTAATGCCCAAAATTGATCTATTGACTAAAAGAGAGCCCAGCTGTGCCACTAGACTGGACCAAGGACGCTGCACCTGCTTTCGTCACTGCCAAGACGGCTCTGGCAGACACCACCACGCACATACATCCTGTTACTGATGCCCTAATTGGTCTCATCACTTGTGCACCGGGCGTGGAAGTTGGCGCCGTTCTCGAGCAGCACGTATCCTGTTGGCAGCCCCTTGTTTTTTTCTCGCGAAAATTGAAGCCACCGAAAGCGAAAAACGACCGCGAGCTCATCATGAGTGTGCCATGTAGTCATGCTCTTGCATGACAGGCATGCCATGATGCGCTTGCGGTCGATTGCACCAGTCATATACCTTCATTTTCCATTGACGTCACGTAATACCAAATTGTCTGTATGTGAAGCTTAGCCAAACAACCGTGAGTGTATCATGAGCGTGGCTTGTAGTCATGTTCTCACATGACACGTATCTCGTGATTATTATGTTTCGACCAGTCCTATATTTTCATCATCCATACAGGTCCCGTAATACGAAATATGATGTACGTGAAGCAAGCGAAATGACCGCGAGGTCATCATGAGCATGGCAAGTAGTCACGTATTACACGTCCCGCATGTTATGCTTTTCACGTGAGGACCAGTCAGTTCTGTTCGCCATGCAGTCATGGCATACCCCGTGGTCATAACATGCTAGTTTTGCGATATGTCATGTGAACTAAACCACTGCAGGATCAGCAAGAGCCTGAAATATAAATCGTGACATTTATAATTCACATATCGTGATTTTCATATTACGACTAGTCACTTATGCTCGTTGTACAGAGAAGTCAGATCATACCAATTTTGCCATAGATAGCCACTAAAGGTAGATAGATAGATAGATAGATAGATAGATAGATAGATAGATAGATAGATAGATAGATAGATAGATAGATAGATAGATAGATAGATAGATAGATAGATAGATAGATAGATAGATAGATAGATAGATAGATAGATAGATAGATAGATAGATAGATAGATAGATAGATTCGAACCCGCCGAAGTTTGCTAAGAAACGTTTCGCATTTATTACAGTGCATTTGCCCGCGAACTCCTCATGGTGTACCTCGCCATCAAGCATTTTCGAAATTTACTGGAGGGCCGGGACTTTGCGTCGTTAGAGACCACAAGCCCCTGACGCTTACCTTTCATCGCAATCGCAGCAATTACACTGCATGGGAGACACGTTGACTATGCCTTATCTCCGAGTTCACCGTGGGTCTCAGACACGTCCACGGGCCGGAAAATGCTGCTGATTGAACACTCGCCCACATTGATGC